ATTCTTATATATATATATATATATAATATTTTCTGTGGCTCTGTAATCCTAAATAAAGGATCATCTGGCTATTTTAAAAGATAAGAAAGCCATTTGAGAGCACTTGACTTTAATAATATAATACTTAGAATCTTTCTCTTTCTCACTCTATTTTTATTTCTCTCCATCTACTATTAAAATGTGATCTTTATATGTGTTGAAAGCTAGAACCTAATGTCATTTAAGACAAATTTAAATAAAAGTTTTAAAAAAAGTATTTTTATTTTTAAATTTTAATGAAAAAAGTCACTTATGATTTTATACAATTTATTCATATATGAATTATTTATTAAAAAAACAAGTGTAAAAACAGTATTCCATGAGAAATTCAATATATATGAAATTTTTTCGCTATTATATTAACAGTTTAGTTGACTAGAATTTAAATTGAAATGTATTTAAATATATATGTTTAATTAATTTTAAAAATATAAATGAAGCAGCATTTGTTATGTATGAACTTAAAAGAAGTATTAGTTCTTCATTATAATTGCATTTGTTGGGATCAGGAATGAGCGTGCAAACATCACGCCATGATGCCAACCAAAAATTGTGGTTGCGAGCGAGCGTTTTAAAAATATAAAAATAAAATATATGACCATTGTCACTAACCTCCATTATTTTTTCAGGCACCAAACTCCAAAGCATCCACCTTTCCCTTCCCTTTCCTTTCTCCTCAGTATTTCGACTCTATTGCCTCGATTTCTCCTCTTGGAGGGGCTGAAACGACTCGATCGATCGTCAGATCGTTCTGTCTTTGTAGTAAATCAAAAAGTTCTTATTTTATTTCTTCTGATTCCTTCTACTAAAAAATTATATATATAGTTTTTGCTTCTCCCCGATGGATTAGATGTCTTGATTCGAAGAAGCTAGCATTGCTTTCCCAAATTCTCTGAATTGAGTAATTAACTTTTTTTCCTTGACTTTTGCCTTTTTTATTTCCTCTTTTAGCTTCGTTGCAAGTTTTAGCTAGGTGCTGTTCTTATTTTTGCGAGTTTTTTTTTAATTATTTTCTATGGTATAATACGGTTTTTTGATTGGGCTTAAAGCTTCTCTTTAACTCTCAAATGGCACCAGAAAGCTGCAACCTTGGTAAAGACGAGCCTGAGATACTTAAGCCCTCTTCTCCTTCTTCTTCTTCATCATCATCTTCTTCTTCCTCCTCTTCTCCTCCTTCATCAAACCCTTCTCCCTCATCAACATCTTCCCAATTACTACCACAGCAACCACCTTCCTTTTTATTAATGGAACCTCCTCATCATGCTCAAAGCTCTGATGAGACGCCTGAAACTTCGATAACAAATGTCATCGAAGCTTCTTCCCAGCCAAAGAAAGAGGAAGAACCTCATCCTCCAGTTCAATTTGGCAACCGGTGCTCAACTTGCCAGAAAAGGATTGGTCTCACTGGGTTCCGGTGCCGGTGCGGCGATCTATTTTGCGCTCGACACCGATATTCTGATACCCATAGTTGCTCTTTTGATTACAAGGCTGCAGGAAGAGAGGAGATATCTAAGGCTAACCCGGTGATCAGAGCAGCTAAGATCATTAAGATTTAAGGTATAACTCTTTGGCTTTGATTGAGCATGGTATTCTCTACTTTATGTTACCTGGTGTATGTCAAAAGCTAGTTGTAATTTCCTGCATGCATGGTTATTGTTAAACTGAAGTTCCTGTGATTTGAATGTAAATTTTGGTCTTAAAGTTATGATTTTTTTTTTTTTTTTTTGAACAATTCTCATCATTAAAATTTCGTTCTTTGGAGTTTGACTTAAAAAAAAAAAGAGTTTCGCTTGTTCTGGGTAATGATTCATTTGGTTGTTCGAAATTAGCAAAAAAAAAAAAAGTCAGAAAAAAAACATTATGATATCGGCGTAATTTGTTTGATCCATCATTTGGTTGGGCGTAATTAGAAATCAACGTTGATTTTAAACTTCACAAAGCTCCTTAAATGGTGTAATTTCATTTTCACACTAAAAAGAGTGAAACCAAAATCATTAATTGTTAAAACATGTCCAAATGAGCACTAAAGGTGTTTGCTGCAAATTGGAAAATTGAACGATATTACTCTTTTGCTTTTCTGCGCTTTTGTTTTTATGTTATTTTTTATAAAAACGATAATTAGTGATGGTGTTGGCAGGTTGTAAAGCCTGAACTTTATCATAGAAAAGTAGCTTTAGCTGTTGCATTTCTGTTGTTCATTAATTTCTGAGTGCTGTGAAGCTTTACAGTGAATGCATTGTATTTGATTTTAACTGAGACCACGTCAGAAAAATTTATGAAGTGGGGATATGTTCATTACTGTTACTGATCAGTTTCAATGAATAAGCTTTGATGTGTTCTCTAAGAATAAGATTTGATCGGGATAGTGCATTGAAAAGTTTTTCCTTGAAGAGCAAGTTTATGAGCGCTTCATGCTTTTACTGTGAAGCTAAAGTACTCTATATTATCAGTTTTATAGTGCCTGTGAGCTATATTATCTGAACATTTTCATTATGATCTAGACATAAGCTAAGCTATTAATGTAGTTTTATGAAGTGAGCAAAAGTGAGCAAGGCCTTGAGGAGATTACCTTTTCTAGCAGTTTAGCGAAGTTCCTAAAATGTCTGGATTATAAGGGTAATGCTCTTCGGCATGGTGGTATTGCTGTGATTTTATGGAAATTCTGTCCTCTCTGGTTTCAATAGAAAATCATGTAACATTTTTTTTTTTTTTTTGCATATCAATTAATTAATGAATGCTGACTCTAAATCGTAGGAATAAGAGAAAGCGGATTCCAAATAATTGGGATAAGGATCATCTTCATCTATTGTAGAATAAGCATTATATATTTATTATTCATTATGGTCATTGGTGCATAATGCATCTCAACACAATGACAATCATATATCTTTTAACATTAACTTTCTATGAAATTTTCTTTGGTCTAGCTAACAATGTTTTCTTTGCAAGAGATTTTATCATGATTTAGATATCTTGTAGCTATATTTCTTTTTCATTTACATAGAATAAAATCTCTTCTTTCATGTCGGGTTGTGCTAACTGTTTTCTAGTAATGGATGATTTCATCATTATCAAAATCTAGACAATCTTTCTAGTAATCGTTGATTTTATCATTATCAAAATATAGACAATCTTTCACTGTATAAATTCTCTGACATTAGAAAAATTCATCAATCCAATGAACGGAGGATGATCTTTAGCAATGTTACAGCAGAGTTCCTAAAATTTCTGGTTACAAGGTTCTTGCTTGTCATTCTGGTCTTTCTTTTGTTACCTTTATGATTTTTATGTTCTCCTTAATTTCATTAGGAAGTTAATCATGTTTTGCATGCAACATGATATATTTTAGGGAAAAAATATCCATGACAACCATAGGTGCATTATGCATTATCTATGCCAGTCACAGGCATTATAACATCAAATTTTTATGAAATGCTCTTTGGCTGTGCCAATCATGTTTTCTTAACATGAGATTCTATCAAGTTTAGCTTTATTTCTATTTTAACATGCAGAAACAGAAAATATTTTTACATGTAATGCTGAAATTATTATGTTATATTTCTAGTTCAGCTATAGTGAATCCGAAGGTCAGCAAATCTTATTTTGTTGGTTAAAACATGGAGTCTTATACTGAAGAGAAGGTGGACGTGCTAGTTAATGCATAATTTCAGAACTGAATCCGGAGAATTCCTCAATTTCACTACTAAACTTATTGTTGGAAGCTTGATTGGTCTAGACCGTCCACATGTTAGTTCTCTAAGTTAAAGATTATTGTTCTTCTCTAGTGATTCGTATTAGATCTTCTTCGTGGCTTTCTAGAGATACTTCACATTTGCCTGTAATACTTCATATTTGGGGAAGAAGCTCGGAATCAAGAACCTATTAGTTCCTGTTTTATTCTTGTTTTTCCTTCTCTCTCTCTCTCTCTCTCTCTCTCTCTCTCTCTCACACACACACACACACACACATAACATATTAGTTTTTAACATTTTAGCATATTTGAGAGGACTGTCAGGAAGCAAGCACCTAAACCTACTGAGCTCTTGTTGCTGTATGTTTGTGACGGTTATGCGTAATGAAACAAGAAATAGCAAGCCTTGCATTTAGGAGCAGGTAAAACTATGCAAGTGCTTTTGATTAGGGCTTTGGATTTGCTTGAAGATCAAAGAAACTGAATTATTTTTTTAGCTAGGATGGCGCTCCTGGAAATTAAGCTTCTTGATTAATAAGCCAAACATTTTGTAGCCAACCTACCTCAGACTCAAGATTGAACTGAATGATTGAATCAATGTCAAGTCAGTCAAAATAGCTTGAGATTAGATGATTCAGTCCTGTTGGTGGTCATGGCTGTGCCTCTGCATATTTTAGTGTACATTAAAGGAAATTTACATACATACTATAACATTATTCACATACATATCATAAATTTATTATATATTTTTATATCTAATACTAAAATCTTTATTTTTATTTATATAAATTTTTTAAAAAATAATTCATATAAAAATATTACTCCTATTTTTTTTTTTTTTGAAGCAAAATATATATATTTTAATGCCTATGTGATATTTTGATGTCTATGTTACTCTTGGGATGTGATTGAAATATTAAAAATATTATTTATCTAAATATAGATATAAAATGCATAGAATTTTTGAGGGCATGTATTCAAGTCTCCATTACATTAATTAAATTCATAACTTGGCAGAATCATTGGTGTATCTTTATGAAAGAATAATAATGAATGGAAGAAGCGGATGATATATTGCTAAAGTATAATAATACATACAAATGCATTTTACGCTGCTACACAGATCTGGCATTAAGGATTTCCAGCCAAATTGCAAGTGTTCATATAACATTAGAAGTGTCAACAACTAGCAACTCTGAACATAGGGAAGTTCTGCTCATTTAAGGCTTCTTAGCAAGCTTGAGCTTAGCTCGACATCTTATATTTTCTAGCTGCAATCAAGCTGCATTCGATGGAGATATTGGATTTGATTTAGATTTGCAATTATCACAGAAACAACAAAATACAATATCCAGAAAAAATAAAATGCTATCCTTCTGAAATCAAGAACAAGAAAATCTACTTTGAAGCAAGTTAACATATCAGCAACAGATCAAATCAAACAGCCACTCTGAAGATTTAGACTTTTTCAAACATCCAAGCTTTCTTGTACAGGTGATAAAAAGTAACTAATTTTTTATCTTACTTGCAAGATCATGGGAAGAACAGATGACTTCTTAACCATCAGAGCAGAGCACCAAGGTTCCTAACCAGACACTAGATCATATTTCTCCAAGAATAAATAGTTAAATACTACATGGATCGTGAACACTAGTGTTCGTAGGCTCCTGAGCTTTATCCTCGACTTCCATTCCTGTTGGGGAATACCGTGAGGAAGAATGATTGAAGAAAAATGGCTCATTTTCTCAACTGTAGGAACTCCATTGGGTCATTTACAAAGCTTGTTAATGTTGATACTGTGGAGGGCAAAGCCAATAAATTTGTCCTAATACATTTCATTTTTGTGGTTAAGCCATAAACTTGCATGGCCACTCGCTACTAAAAAGCTATATGTTTCAATGAATATAACTTTGAAAATCCCATTAAAAACTTTATTTGCATTAAATGCTTGCAGATCGACTGGTTCATCATTTCTGCAAAGTAGGTTGATTACAATTTACCTGAAGCTCATTCATGCAAGCATAGATATCACGAGGGTAGCGCAAGCAAGCACTACAACTAGTAGGAGTATCACAAACAACTTCAATGATGGACCAGGAACAAGTCTTTCCACCAGATCCTGGAATTGGGAGGCCACAGGGATTCATCCAAACCTTCCAAATGTTCAAAGAAGTTCTATTACTCCAGGATGCGAGTTGAAAGAAACCATCTGAATCGCCAGAACAAGAAATGTACAGATTTTGATTTTCTTTCCCGTGGAACATAATTCCATTATAAGCTAAAAAAATGCTAAAAACAAAAAAGAGATTCTTAAAAGAAACAAAACATCTCACTACTCAAAGATAACCTACTTTCAAATTATTGGCACATCAATGCTCTTTTGGCCACTCGATATACTCTCGATATATTATGTAATTTATGTCATTTGAGATAACTTATTTCAAACTCTATAAAATTTTTAATTTGAGGAAAATATGTTGTTTTCTAGGAAAAAAAAACAGAAGAAAAACTACTTATTATGTACTTGTGGCCTCCGAAAATTCGGCCCCGGCCTCCCCTGCTGCTTTTTCAGTGGAGTTTTAATGGATTAAGTTTGGGGGTAAATTTTGCAAAGGCAAATGAATTTGTAGATACGACACTACCTAGAGATTTCATCCACATTTTTTGAGGACTTTATGATATGAGTTTTGGTTTCTTATAGGCACAAGACCCTATAGTTAATTACCCCTCCTGATAACGAGAGAGAACTTTCGATTAAGGCTAGTTGTCAATCAAATACATAGAGATGCACATTCTCTGGCATATAGTAGTAACATGGGCATTTGTAATTGGAAATTTGATATTTAAAATTGAAAATCTCACCATTTTGTACTTAAAGAGGATGGTGGGGGAATGGATGATGGACCCAATCAAGATCTCATGGTTCCGTCATCCCGGGCCATCGTAGTCCCTGGTCTACTTAGTCAGAGGAGGTAGTCGACCCAACCTGACAGAAGGATCCTTGTCGGCAACCA